CCCCGGCGAGGGCGGCCCCATTTGGGGGCGCAGCGGCTGCCGGGGAGCGGCGGTGCGGCCCTGTCAGCGGAGGGGGCTGGTGGATCCTGGCCCCGTCCCTCCTGGGCGAGGGGTCTCGCTGTGCCTGAGGGAATCAGCCCCCTGCCAGCGGGAAGGGCCGAGCCCCGGCCCAGAGCACAGCCTTCCCCCGGCCCCAGTGTTGCCTTCTGCCATCCCCTTGCAGGGCCGTGGAAATGTGGATTGATACAGCTACAGTATTAATTACACTGAGTCACCGGGGAGATGTGATAAATGGCAACATCACGAGAGGGGAAAAAACAACAGTCATCAGCGTGATGTCAGAAAGGGACCTTAAATGCCTGCTTGCTGTAGACTTTGCATTAGTGCCTGCTTAAATTAATTCACTTAATCTGTACATCCCAGCACCAGATTAGTGGAAGCAATGGTCATTCAGATTAAATGAGCGTACAAAACTGATTGTAAGAGTGCATTCAATGCTGGAGAATAAATGACTTACGTATCATGACTCCAGACTAACTTGACCAGTTGAATCTTCAGAAACTCTTTTTCACGATCAGATTAGATCAGACCCTCAACCTGTAGAACTTAAATATGTGCATACCTTTATCGAGGTCTTCTGTGCATTAACTTCCGATGAATAAGGGAGCCGAAGTTAACCCGTTAGAGAAGCATCCAGCCTAGAAGGTTTGATAAAGCAAAGCTAGAGACCAGACACAAAGAAAGTTTGGCAGACAGCTATTGAAATATGCACTGCATCCTAAGCATTCACTGGAATGATACTGCTTCCCCTTCACCACAAAAAGACCGGAATTTATCTTGGTCGAATCCAGTTAAGCCAGTGCAGAATCGCAACTCGGAGGACTTAAATTGCCTTAACCCTTTCACAAGCTTAATGCAAGAGATGAGCACCCAGTTGAATTCGATGAAAAACATTTGCCTTTTCCACAGTTCTTTGTAGTAGCAGCCTGTCCACTGCAAATTGCTCATGCTTTGGGTTTCAGCTGGAAAAAAATGTAACTGAAAGATGAAGAAACAAACAAACCCAATGCATGTATATATGCAGAAACAGTGAACATGGCAGTCCTCCTTCTCCTGCTCTGGCTCCATGGCTACGCCACACGGACACACCAGCTGGGATATTTAAAAATTCACAACCTTAAGAGGAAAATAATCTCAAAAATTATCCGAAACACTAAATCCTAGGGGTTTTTTTCTGATTACAGATTAATCCAAGTGCAAATTGATCCAAAATGAGCCGATCAGCTAGCTGTAGAGATGCAGGAGACAGCCAGAACCCTGACAGGGCACCTCACACCAGAGGGTACGTCTGTTCAGACCTCACCGCCTGCTTCCTCCCTGGCTGTGCCACGGCAGCGGGTCCCTTCTCCTTTCCCAGGCAGATGGGCACTGTGTTTGTGAGCGACTCAGACACCAAGCGTCTTAGAAAAGCCTCTGTGTGATTCTGCTTCCAGATTCCCATGCCGGTGCAGCTTGGAACTGAGAAGGTGGCCTGAGGATAGCTGTACTTCCAACAGCAATAAGCCGAAGCTGTTTCACACTCTGCAGCAGACTAAAGACCCTACGACACAATTTCGTGATCCCATCATAAAGCTTGTTGGGGCATACAGGGGTAAACAAAGGTTGCAAAGTCAACCTCAGCACTGGTATTTCCCAGCTCATTTGCCTTTTAATAGCAACGTCCTGGAAATACACGTTTGAATATTCAAGATACTGATGTATCTTCTGCTTTTGTTGATATTTTTTTTCTCTCCTGAAGGGCACTGCCCACTATCAAAGTCCAAAATTCAGTGAGCAGGCCAGAGTCACAACAGCGTTACTGTTAGTTAGGCTTAAAATGCCCTACCTTCACAACAGCTAAGATGCTCTTTAGACCAGTCAAGAAATCTGCTTCTATTTTATCTTCAGGTATCACCAGCCACCCTTCCTTTTGCTGCGGTACAGCAGTCCGGTTAATATCTGGTGACTGTGGCCTATGCTGGGATTAATAAAATGTTTTTATGAGCCAATTCATAAAGGTGCTGTCAACAAACTGCTGCCTCCTCTAAAGACTAATTAAAGCCGAGCCAATGCTGCCCGGCACAGGCTGTAACGGTGTTAGGACTCCGTGCACCCTCTGCCAGTTCCTGTTATTAGTGATGAACAAAATGCAGCATCCGATGTTCAGTGACCTTCTGCAACTA